AGGATATTTGGAAACTTTTTCTTCTATGAAGAATAACAATGTTATATTAAGGCAAAAATATGGAAATGATATTTTGTAACATAGGAAATATATTTGTTACTTTCATCCATCTATTCAAGAAACCCTAACTGAATGAGGCTGTCTGCTTGCCGGTATGCTAGCTGCTCGGATACAAGAGTGGACAAAATATGGTTCCTCTATCAAGAAATTCCAAGTTTTATAGCAGAAACAGAAATTTATAAATGTATGTTATCATATATTGTCAAGAATGTAAAAATAAAATTGTGCCCAAGCTGCAGCAGAAGAGTAGGGTGATGATCTGTCAGGAGCAAGCAAGACTGGCCTGAGCAAGACTGGCCTATAACTCCTTGTAGTGTAATGAGAATTCAGGAGCATGTGCACTCTGCTAGTTCCCTGCTTATGAACATTCTCAATAGTGTTTATAGTTCACTTCAATTTATCATGCCACTAAAAGCAAGGCGAGGGGATTCTAACAACAAAGTATAAAAAACGTCATAGATTTAAAAACAAAGCAAAACAAAACTGAAGAAAAGTCTTCCCTAAATGTTCTTTTCACTAAAGCAAGAAGAAAGGATTTTCCAACCAATATTTCCTTTCTATGAATTTCCCTATTGATCTCTACCTAATTCATGAATTCATAATGACAGATAATTATTACATTTGGAGGCATAACTTACAAATGAAGATATTATGTTTCAATATGGAAAAATTGAAAAAGTAGGTGACCAAAATGGGGGAACACAAGTGAAGTAAATATATTGATTTAAAAAGAAGCATTTGAGTCTTCCTTTTGTAGGTTCTAGTTTGACACGTAAAGAGCTTAGAAGTCATCATTCCTGTCCTCGCAACAAGGAAAAAACTGAACAAACTGAAAATCAAGAACTTTTTTTTAGTTTTTTTTTTTTTTAAAGAATTGAGGTCACAGGGCAAACCACTATATATAATACAGGAGATACAAATGGATACAAAGACTACCAGATAACCTTACTGGGAGCAGCAGCCCAGAAACAAAAGTTTACAGTTGGAGAAATCAGTAGGAACACTTAAAAATTTTAATTGGTAAATTTCTAGGTACTTAGTGCAGGCCAGCTTGAGAATTAAAAATTCTGGGGGAGGTATTTTTATGGAGAACCCTACACTCTTATGAGTTTTACCTACAGGACCCCCACCAGGTTCTTGCTGTGAAGATTGGAGAAAAATGTCCTTATGCTTTTAGCAGGGAAAGGGGAAAAGTAACCATTTATTATTAAATAACTGTGATTAATATGCTAAAGGATCTAATGGAAAAAGTGGACAAATGGTAAGAAAAGGTGGGTATTGTAAGCAGGGAGATAAAAACTCTAAGAAAGAATCAAAAGAAAATTCTAGAAGTAAAAGCCACTGTAACAGAAATGAAGGATACTTTTGATGGGCTCAACAGTACACTACACATAGCTGAGGAAAGAATAAATGAACTTGAAAATATGTAAGTATAAAATTCACCAAACAAAAAGCAAAGAGAATAAAGAGTGAAAAATATTCCAGAAATGTGGGACAATTTACAAAATACATAACATATACATAATGGGAATATCAGGAAGGAAGGAAGGAAGGAAGGGAGGGAGGGAGGGAGGGGGGAAGAATGGAAGAGAGAGAGAAGGAGCAGGGAAAATATTTAAAGTAATATTGACTGAGAATTTTTTAAAAATCAATAACATATCAAACTACAATTACAGGAAGCTCAGAGAACACCATGCATATATATAAAATAAGAGTTATATCCAACTTCTCTTCAGAAGCAATGAAAACAATAAAATAGTGAAGTAAAATAATAGAAGTATTGAAAGGAAAACCTACCAGCCTTGAATTCTCTATTCAATGAAATAATTCTTCAAAAATAAAGGGGAAATAAATACTTTCTCAGACAAATGAAATTTGAGGGAATTTGTTACCAGTAGACTTGTTTTGCAAGAAATGTTAAAAGGAGTTATTTAGAAAGAAGAAAAATAATATAGGTCAGGAACATGGATCTAGAATGAATGGGCATTAAACAAGTAATAAATAAAGGTAAAAATAAAATAATTTTTATTTCTTATTGTTAATTGATATAATAGATAATTACTTGTTAAAAGTAATAATAACAATGTATTAGGTGATTATAGCTCATAGATAAGTAAAATGAAAGATGTAATGTTAGATTGGAAGAAATAATTGGGAATACTATGTTATAACATACCTGCACTATTCATGAAACAGTATAGTGTTATTTGAAAGTGGACTTAGATTTGTTATAAATGTATATTACAAACTATAGGGCAACCACTAAAAATGTTTTTAAAATATAATCGATATGGAGAGAAAGAGAGAGAGAGAGGGAAAGAATTGAATCATATAGAATGTTAGATTAAAGCCAGAGAAAGCAGGAAAAGAGTGGGAGGCAGTAAAATAAGCAGAAAACAACTGCAATAAATAGAAAACAGTTACAAACAGGGTAGATATTAATCCAACCATAGCACTAATCACTAGTTACAAATTGTTAAAAGAAGAACTTTAGACAAATTATATTTAACAGACTTTGAGCAAAGAACAATTCATGAATCAGGTAGCCCTCAAACCAGAGTAGGTTTAGAGCATCTCTGGCACTGCCTTGTGATAGGAGAGGATTTATGGACTGAATAAGGAAATTGAGGTATAGAAAACAGAGATGAGGTAACAGTAACAGCTGGATTGGTTACAATGTGGCGTTTGCCTTACTCGAACACAGTTTGAACGGTTGGCTGATTGGCTGAAAGTTAGTGATTGGTACGAGAGTAGGTTATAGTCTGTTTACACATCCAGTTAGGTTACAGGTCACTATGTAGGGAGAACTTTTACGCTGGACTTAAAATATGTAAGGAGGCATCTTTAGGCTAAACTTAATTAAAAAGAATGGCCTAAATAAACCAATTAAAAGACAGATACTGTCAAACTAAATAAAAGCACAAGAGCCAACTATTATGTTGTCTACAAGAAACCCATTTTAAATATAAAGACACAGATAGATTAAAAGTAAACTTACAGAGAAAGATACATCATGCTAACACTAACCAAAATAAGGTTGGATTGCTATATTAATTTAAGACAAAGCAGACTTCAGAACAAGGAAAATTGTCAGAGATCAAGAAGAACATTACATAATGGTTCAGGAGTAAGTTTTCCAAGAATACATAACAATCTTTAATGTACATGTGCCTAACAGCAGCACATCACAGCATGTGAGGCAAAAACTGATACAACTGCAAGAAGAAATGGTCAAATCTACTAGTATAGCCAGAGAATTCGACACTTCTCAGTAATTGATAGATCTATTAGGCAGAAAATTAGTACGGACATAGTTCAACTGAACAGCACCATCAACTGGATGCAATTGACATTTTATAGACTACTTCATCTAACAATAGCAGAATGCATACTTTTTCTCAAACTCACATGGAATATTCACTGAGATAGGCTGTATTTGGGGCCATAAAATAGACCTTAACAAATTTTAAAAAATAGAACTAATACAGAAAAAAGAGAAGCATTTACTAAACATATAAGGGCTTTTTTTGGAATTAAAAATAATCTTGGAATGATTTTTGCACTTAAAAATATTAAAAGTTTAGTAAAGAAGGAAGGCAAATTTATTGACCAGCCATTCATATGATAAATATTTATTTAATATCTACTATGTGTTAGGCATTCTTCTATGTGCTGTTACTGTAATGGTGAAGAAAAAAGAATTGGTATTTTTCTCATGGAACTCTATGGTATTAATGGTAGGAAATTAGGTCAAGGAAACAAGCAATGGTGGGATAAAGTCTATGATAGGGTGATAGCAACAAGAAAGAGAGGCATCTAACTCAAACTTGGGATTTGGACAAGTCTTCCTGAAAGCAGCAATATCAGAAGCATGAATAAGAGTTTATTTAGGTAAAGGAAAGAAGAGATTCCCAAGAAGAATCCTGCCAAAGGCAATCTAAGTGGAATGTAGTACATCCAATGATTGAAAGATGCTTTATACAGTTGGAACATACAATTGAAAGTTGATGAGAAGTAAAAAATGAAAGTAAGCTTGGATTGAATCATGAAAAGTTTTGTAAACTCTGATAAGATTAAACTTTTTCCTAAGGAAAATGCGAATGCATTAAGTAATCTGAAGTGGGAAAGAGATATGACCATATTTCTATTCTAGGAAAGTCATACTGGCTGATGTGAAGGATGTATTGGAATAAAAGTAAGATCAGAAAAAGGGAGGACATCAGTTTTTATACTTTGGCAAAGATCTAATCTACAGAGAAGTGATAATAGTCTAAACAAAGGAGATAGCAAAGATAGAAAGAAGTGGATAGATTAGGGATAAAAATCCCTGAATACACAGTCATGAGCCTACATAATGACATTTTGGTCAATGACAGATCACATTTACAGCAGTGGTCCCATAAAATTATAACACCATATTTTTACTGTGCCTTTTCCATACATAGAAACACAAATATTTACCATCACAATTGCCTACAGCATTGAGTACACTAACATGCTGTGCAGGTTTGTAGCTGAGGAGCAGTAGGCTATACCATATAGCCTAGGTGTGTAGTTCCATACACCACGTAGGTTTGTGTAAGCGTGCTTTATGGTGTTTACACGATGGTGAAATTGCCTAACGATGTATTTTTCAGAATGTATCCCAATTGATAAGTGACAAATGACTTATGACTTAGTGAAGAAAATTTCTTGGTCTCTAATTTGAGTAAGTGGCAACTCATATATAACGCCCTCAGCTTTTGAGCTCTTTTTATTCCACCATCGCCCCATTATTTCAACTTGCAGTCATTACCCAACCACAAGCAAGCTTTGCCTTCCCTAAGTACTTTATTATGTGTCTCTCCTTTATTATTTACCACTCCTTTCTCTGTCATTACCCCGTGTACCTTCAGTATGCACATCAACGATCTTTCTAATATCCTCTTTTCACAGATGTCCTTGATGTCTTCAAACCATGACTTTTATCTTCAGTTTTCAGCTACTAACAAGCATGACCACAATTTGGACCATCATCACATGAAGCAGGTCTATAAAGATATGCTGAAATTTAATTCTTAAATACATTCACTTATTTTTCCAATATTTTCCGTCTACTTATTCCTGTTAAACTTGATCTTGGTCATTTTGGTGACCCTTACTCCATGGACTGCTCTCTAATCTCCTAGTCCATTATCTCTCTCCTAGATTTGTTAGCCTTCTTACCAAAATGGGACCCATGATTGACAATTTCAACTTTCCCGCAAATAGTGCCCTAGAATCCCTTATTAATCCATTATCCATCTATGGTGACCACATTGATATTGCCAACTAATTAAAGCCAGCACTCTATTTTCTTTTCTCCCTGTCCTGGAGTACCAGTGACCCTAGAGATATTGTACAATTTTATTTGGTCACCTCCTCCTCAAGACTGAATGCCTTCATATTTAGCCAGGACCTCAAAATTGTTCAAGTTTTTTTTTATTTATGCAAAACTGATTCTATGTGTATTTACCCCCATCGTGGCTATTGTAATAACCTTGTTTCACTTTTACATATACCTTATTTCAGTGTTACAAAGCCTAAAGTTTCATTTTCTTTTCTCTAGTGACCTCCACTGCATTTTGTTTATTTATTTTTTGATGAAAACTTTTTTTATTTCAGCATATTATGGGGATACAAATGTTAAGGTTATGTATATTGCCTATGCCCCCCTACCCCTCAAGTCAGAGCTTCAAGCGTGACCATCCCCCAGATGGTGCACATCTCATTAATTATGTATGTATATACCCATCCCCTCCCCCCTCCTACATGCCTGACACCTGATAAATGTTATTCCTATATGTCCATTTATGTGTTGATCAGTTAGTACCAATTTGCTGGTGAGTACATGTGATGCTTGTTTTTCCATTCTTGGGATACTTCACTTAGTAGAATGCTAAGTCTATCCAGGAAAATACAGCTCTATCCAGGAAAATACAAGAGGTGCTAAATCACCATTGTTTCTTAAAGCTGAATAGTATTCCACAGTATACATATACCACATTTTAATAATCTACTCATGTATTGATGGGCACTTTGGTTGTTTCCAAATCTTTGCAATTGTGTATTGTGCTGCTGTAAACATTCGAGTGCAGGTGTCTTTTTTGTGAAGTGTCATTTGGTCTTTTGGGTAGATGCCCAGTAGTGGGATTGCTGGATCAAATGGTAGATCTATTTGTATCTCTTTAAGGTATCTCTATATTGCTTTCCACAGAGGTTGAACTAGTTTGCAGTCCCACCAGCAGTGTAGGAGTGTTCCTATCTGTCTGTATCCTTGCCAACATTTATTGTTTGGGGACTTTTTGATAAAGGCCATTTTCACTGGAGATAAATGATATCTCATTGTGGTTTTGATTTGCATTTCCCTGATGATTAGAGATGTTAAGCATTTTTTCATGTTTGTTGGCCATTATTCTGTCTTCTTTTGAAAAGTTTCTGTTCATGTCCTTTGCCCACTTTTTAAAAAATTAATTTTAAAAGATAATATATTTAAACTTCTTGAATTCACAAAGGTACCTTGAAATAATGATATATTATTTTACATGACATGAAGCCCAGGAAATACCGAGTATGTTGAAGAAATACAGCAACTCTCACAAAGCAACCCAATTACTTTGAATATGAACCCAGTATTTACAGGACAGGAAAGCAATTGTATTCCATGCAAAATAATTATAGTAAGCTGTAGATAAAATAATCATAGAAGTAGGCTTCAAAAAACCAAAGAACAATATCATCAGTTAAAAATAAAAAGAGAAACTTCTTAAATATGAATGCCAATTCCAAGAAAACTTAAAGGTAGTATGACAGGAAGAATGAGGAATATAATAATCATAATTTAAAATCCAGCAGAACCATATACCATGTGGGAGCCTTTAATGTGCTCACTCAACACTATTATATTCTCTCAAATGATAAATTTGTCTAATTCTAAGGACTACAATTACAGCTTCAAATATTTAAAATAATTCTGCTTCTCTAAAAATTGCAAGTGATGCCAAGCAATTACTTTCACATTAAAAGGTTCTTAATATTTTGAACTTTCTTAGGGATTTAGAGGCAAAGATCTGCCTTATAGTAATCAACAAGAAGGAAAAAACATTGATTAAATATAATTTAGAAATTAGTAGAGAGATGATACTGCATAGAGGAATGGAGATTACATAGATAAGCCAAATTTAAAGATGTTTAGGTTTTAATTATAATTTTTCTTCAAGGATTTCAAGGATGGTATTTTGAAGCCAAATGTTCTTTTCCTGTTTGCCAGGATACAAGAATGCAATTACTAATGGGAAAATGAGAAGGCCTTTCTTCTATTCATTTTGAAAATAGGAAGTCAATGTTCTCTCTAGTGGGCATAAACTGGCTGAAGGTTCAACCCGACATGATGATTCCTCTAAATATGGCTCCAGACCTGCCCTTAGAATCATGTAATAAAGAACACAGTTCAGCAAGGCCTGGGTTCATATCCCTGCTCCATATCCCTGGCTCAACCATTCAATAGTAGAGTGATTTTAGGAAAGTTCTGAGTTTTGTTTTCGCAAACTGTACATAGAGTTATTTTTATCTCATGAGTTGCTGTGGGGATTCACTGAGATAATGAACTCAAAGTGCCTAACACTATCAGTGTCAGGTCACTCTGGTTAACCATAGCTCATGATGACACAGTGATTCGTACGTTCCAGTGTGTACCTCATGCTGCAATCAAACTGGAATCCGTAACTATTCTGTGAACATTCCCTGATTATTTCTGCCTTGATTCATGCTATTTCCTGCATAATTGATGTCTTCTTCCTCTATCATTAGCTACTGAAATCTTATCCTTCTTTAAACAGTTTTGCAAATGCTACTTCCTTTATGAAGCCTTTTTTTCCCCCAATCCTCATCTGTTTTACTTGCCCACTTTTTGATAGGTTGTTTGATTTTTTTCTTGCTGATTTTCCTGAGTTCTAAATAGATTCTAGTTATCAGCCCTTTATTGCATGTGTAGCATGCAAAAATTTTCTCCCATTCTGTAGGTTTCTTTCCTTGGTAAAAGCCCTCAAATTTGAAGTGATCCACAGTTTTTCAGTCTCATTTGTATAACACAAATCTGTTTCTTCTGTTACAATGGTCACTCATAAAGGCCAGTAACTATCTCCTCTAGGGAACCAGACATTGAGACCAGAGAGTTTTAAACTTAACCTTTTGTTTGGTGGCACGTATATCACACACTCAGGTAACATGAGCCACTAATTTCTACTATGCCAGCAGGACAGTAAAAGAAACTATTCTGTGTATGTAAAGAAGAATTAATAAGATGTACAAACAGACGAAAAACCAGAGAGAGAATATAGCTTGGTTCTGATTAATTCCATTTCCTGACCTTAGAACTTTCTAAGAAAGAAGGCCATGATCAGGAAAAAAGTTGCGAAGCAAAATCTACCACTAAATATAGCTAACATAATGCCAAATATATTAATATAATTATTCATAAAATATAGAGCTTTGTATCTGGGAACAAAGGCAATAGCCAAGTCTCAAGGACAGGGCAGAATAATCATTGCAGAAGGAGAGGGCAAGTAGTAATGCTCAGAAATCCCCATCAGGCATATAGACATGGCTCACAAAGAACTGTAGTTCCAAGAAGAAACCGTGATACTGTGACACTTACTTCTCTTCCATAGCAGTCCTTGAAAATGGTTTTCCAGCATCTTCTGGTCAGAAGAAGAGGCATCACCTGAGAAGACCAGCACCATCCCTGCAGTCCACAGGTCCTACCTCACCTCCAAATGCCTGTAAATGACATTATGTATCATCTTCAAGGTCAAATTTCTGAGTAAATGAATTATAAAAGCTCATACAACCCTGGATTTGCCAGTTCCCAGAGAAGCAGGGTATTATGGGGCAGTGTTTAATGGATAACGTTGGAAATGCCATGATGTGCTTTTTCTATTCAGTGGAGGACTCATTTTTTTAAATACAGTTCCCAATCAAAAAAGAATCTCTTGCTGCTAAAAGGAGGTTTAGATGCTCCTTTTATTTGTCACAGAATGAAGCACAAGTGGTCTTGAGTTGCTTGTGGGGACCCAAACAGAGACCACTCGGATTATAGAGCGGAGACATTGCAAATGTCATTGCAGAGCTAAGTAGGCAACCAGAATTTTCAGAAGATTGAGTCAAAGAAGGGCTTACCTGTAAATCAATTGATAAAGATTATATTTAAAGTTACATTTAACAATAACATTAGCAGAGACTGAAAAAATCTGTAACTAGATTTTTTTTTAAAAGCAACTTAATATTAATACAAGGAAGCAAGTAATTGCAGCCATGAGTAAAGAATGATAGGTGATCCCAAAGGGTATTTGCAGAACCCATTGGGGTCGGGGGGACTGAACCAGGAAGAGACTGGTCAGAACCTCATGCAGTTTAATGCTTTCATCAGGGTATTACAAAAAGTGGATCAATTATATTTAACAACTATTTATTTTCCATTTCCATAAAATCTAAGGTAATTTCTCTTAAGTACCTGAAGTGAATTGCTATCCCTGACCATTGTGGTCAAGATTTGAATGTACATAAAGGACAGAACTAGATGAGCCAAATGCCTACAAAATTCCACCTTATCTAAGTGTTCTTCTGACTGGCTAAGCTACTTGCCTCAATATGACTTCAGAATGGTCCTAAAATACACAAAGTACACATATCTTCACTGGTCAGAAAAAATCCTAAATTCCTTAAATAGAAATACAAATTTCTATGTCATGCTCAAATAAAAAAAGATATGTATCCTGTTTGAAGGAACATGTTGACTCATGCTTTCACATTAATATATAATTAGTCAAACCACATCATGTATACATGGCTCATATTACTATCATTTCCTGTTTGAACTTGAGATGAAGGGAATTTTAAGAAAGAGGACTCTAGGTAATTATAAAATGGTAGTCAAAGTGTCATGTCATGAGAAGCTGGAGACATTAAGGAAAACACTTTTAAATTATATTAGTTCATTTCTATCTTTTAAT